GATTAGGAAATGTCTAACACTTAGGAAATGTCTAACACTTGAAAAGAATTATCATGGGTGAATGCAAATTCAATTGGAAGAATTTGACTTTCGAGGATTAAGGATTCTAAATTTAAACTCTGTGGTTCATAAAATAAAGTTGATTTGTCGCCATATCTTTGAAAGTGGGCATTCCTGGTACTTATCCCACTGATTTGGGCCTTAAGAGTTAAACAGTTAACATGTAATCCCCAGAGGGAAGATATGACCACGTCTCAGTGAAAGGGATAGGAATATATTTGACGTGAAAGAAGCTTGAAGCTCACCATGTCCAGAGCCCAGCTTTTATTTTTCCAGTATGATTTCATGTACCTGAAATAAGAAGCAGATTATACTAGAAGCTGATGTTCTGGCCTCAGCTTGAAAAGCCTGGTCTTAACCAAAAAGCCTTTTATTCAGATTTACTTCGTTCACCATTCATACTCATCATGTATTGAGTATCTTCTTTATACCAGGCCTGTGCCGGGTGCTGGGAATCCAAAGATAAATACGACCTGGCGCCTGTCCTTGGGTGTCTAACAGATATAAGACTTAAGTATCAACATGAAATTACAATCCAATGTTGCCTATGCCCCAGTAAATTTAAATACCAGGAGAGCCTGGGAGACTTGAGAAAGCTGGTGGAGGAAATGATGTCTGAGCTGGCTTTTGAAAAGGAGAAGTGAGGGGAAGACTTTCTAGGAGGAAACAATATGTGAAAAGGCACGTGGGGCCTTTTGACATGTAAAAGTGCATCCTCTGATTGAGAAACATTGAATTCAGAGTACAGGATTGGTGGGGACAGAGAGAAGAAAATGGGTTAGAGAACTATTGGCTGATCATGCTAAGATAGCTGGGGACCAGAACATTATAGCTGCTTATAGAAGGCAAGATCCTATCTTATTATTCACTATATGAATGACTGAGTTTGCCTTCTAAAATGTAAACTCAAAACTCATAGATATACAGGTGAGCAACAATGCTTCATAGCTATGATATCTAGTTCTCTGGCTATATTTAGCACACACACATGCCAAGTTATATCCTACACCTTTAATCAAAATTCTTTGACCTCAAGATAACGTAGATAGATTGTGGAGAGCCAACATAATTAAAGTGAATGCCAGGAGAGATGGCCAAATGAGGCAAGTCACCCAAAGCAACGTAAGGAATGGCGGCCAACGCTATACACCGAAAATATGTTGTCTAAAACTCTACTCTCGTATTCAGTCAACCCATCATCTGACCCCTGGAAGATGGCAATCCCCAAACCAAGGCACCATCATGCCCTGAATTTCTCTGAGCACCCCCTGACCCCACATGCCTTGTCTCTAGTCCCAGGGCTAGAGGGTTGAATATGGGGTCAGAGACCATAGGATCAGTTCCTCCCGTATCCTCTAACCCCAGAACTCACTTATCCCAGGCCTTCCTCCACATGGTGAGGTGGGAGATGTGCATTAGTGGAACAGAGGATGTAAATAAGCTGCTCCTGGACATGATTTTCCACTGACTTAAATCCAGAGGGAATAAAAGACCTTAGGTAGTGAGTAGCAAAGCCCCAGAGCATCAGATGTCTAAGATGTTGTGGTGTGTGACAAGGAGCCCCTGAGGGGGACACTGCCCCAGATCCATGACTGCTTACTCCACCATCTCCTGGCACCTCTCTCCCTCACAGACAGTTTGGACAGGTGGCAGCTTCTGGAGTGTTAGCCTGAGAGGCCACCGCTCCCAGCTCCTCAGTCTGCTTGCTCAAAGTGCTGGAGAGCTGACCTCCACTGATGCCTCAATGACAGCCGGCCAGGGACGTCAGTAAAACTCATTATAAGTGATAGCAGCCTTTAACGCAGGCATGGGGGTCAGAGAAGTAATTCCTCCAACCCCTCCCAGGCAGCTTCGGTGAAGTTAAAGTGGGGAATGATATTCTCACGAATTTCCTATTTCCTCCCTGTGTTTATCAGAAATCTAGGTCATGACAGCTCCGCTCATTCACATCTTCACTGCTAAATGCCTTAGAAGGGCAAAACCCAAAGTTTGAGGACCCCTCCTTTTTCTTTCTGCTCCCTCCCTGCCCTGCAGAAGAGAAAGTGTCACCAGGGACAACCACGCTGACACTCTGGTCTCAAGTGACTTCAGCACCTAGTCAAGAGGCCACGTCTGGGCTCTGGTGATGCTCACACCTGCTGTCGTAAGCGAGGGGATAGATTAGCCATGCGCCTGCCCTAAGCAAAGTGGCAGTCATGGTCCAACGTCAGCCGGAAATCCATTGTCAGTTTCACCTTTTCCTGTTGACCTCTGAAGGTCACGTGGTGCTGCTGTAATGTACTGACTGGGTGTCCAAAAGCAAAGCCTGCCTTCTCCTTTCTCTCCAGTCTCTCAAGTATGAGTCAAAGACTTTTCCTAATGAATGACACTGAGATTAGTAAAGAAATCATCATCTATATCAGTGTTTCTCATCTAAGAACAGTCTTTATGAATTTATGAGATTAGAGCTTAACATTTTGTTGAAAAAATGTTTTCAGTTTTTTAAAAGAAAATAAGTCACCTGTGATCCTAGCACCTTAACATAATTATTTTCATTTCACAATTTGCTTCCAGTTTCCAACCACAGGAAGACATTGTTCATAATTGTGATTTGTATGTATCTAGTGTTCATTTCTCTTGCTTTTTTTCACTTAAGATCAGATCTTCATAATTATACTGAATGCCTGACTGCATGTATTTCTCTGGGTTGCTAATTTGTGATTTTTTTGATGGTTTACCCAAGGAAGGGAGGACATTTATTTAGTTTCTCATATTATGTTCTTACAGGTAATGATATATACAGCTTTTGCTTCCTTTTGAATTTTCTTTAGGAATAACCCCAGGAGTGGGACCCCTGGTTCTTGATATGGATTGCCTTACTGACTTTTTTAAAAGGATGACACCAATTATGGTACCACTACTAGGGCCCATGACCATTTTCATTATAAACTAAAAGACCCAAAAGAGATGCCAAACTTATGGAAAAATTGTTTTTGTTTGTTTGTTTTGGCGAACTCTTTTTTAATATTATTGATCTTAACTGGGCAGGCTTGAATGGAATCCTAAGGAAGAAAAAAATGAAAAATACAGGAACTTCCCTGGTAGTGCAGGGGTTAAGAATCCGCCTGCCAAAGCAGGGGACACGGGTTCGATCCCTGGTCTGGGAAGATCCCACATGCCGCGGAGCAACTAAGCCCCTGCGCCACACTCCTGAGCCTACGCTCTAGAACCCACAAGCCACAACTACTGAGCCTGTGTGCCACAGCTACTGAAGCCCGCGTGCCTAGAGCCTGTGCTCCGCAACAAGAGAAGCCACTGCAATGAGAAGCCGCACACCGCAACAAAGAGTAGCCCCGGCTCGCCGCAGCTAGAGAAAGCCCACGCGCAGCAACGAAGACCCAACACAACCAAAAATAAATTTTTTAAAAAATGAAAAATGCAGAGGGGGGTAGTTTTGCAGAACAGATCCCATTCTATGACTCAGCATTCTTTCCTTCACTTGTTTCTATTTCTGGTAGGGCGAGGATGCCCTAAGAGTATGAGATACTGGTAGGTCTGGGCTCAGAACAAGAGCTGCTTTCCCTTAATGATGGGACAGCTAGAGGTGAGCCAGACACAGATTAAAATCCATGAGAGCCACAAATAGCCTGATGGTTTGCTGTGTCAGGAGAGGCATCCAGCTAATGCTGGGCCTTTGGAGTTCACTTGGAAGAATTCTTTCTCATCTGAAATCTGAAGGCATTGACCTCATCTTTCTGCCTGCTGTCTTCTTTCTGGGGGTATTCTTGTCGTGACTTACTGGCCAAAGGCAAATCCTCTGACAGATGTTGAGGTAGAGAGTGATGTGGAGCGATCTACCTCCCCAAGAAAGAACGCCTGTGGGTAGTTACTGAGAGTGCAGCTCCCAGATCATAGCACAAGAGAAAGGGGCGGTCGCCAGTGGCGCCTAATAGACCCAGAGAAGGAAGGTTAGCACGTGTGTTACAGTGATGCAAAGCACCGATGTGGACTCATTTGGCCCTTCCCTCCAAATTAGGAGTTGTTAGGGTGTTGAGATGTGCAATGACTCATCTTCCATAGGTTGTACCCTGCTGTCAGTCCAATAGAAAAATCATAGTATCCAATATTGCACAGTACATACAATTTGAGAAGCATATATTAACATACATATTAGGCATGACGCTGAGTGTCTCAGCCAAGGTCATTCAGCTACAATGAAATGACAGTGTCACTTAGTCCTTGGTCCTGGGGGTCTGTCTCATAGTCTGTATTATGAATGAACCCAGACATTCGAACGAACACTCACCAATGAATGAACCCCAGCTATTCTGCCACTTGGGCCCACGCTCTCCTTTATACCCTGCAGCCACTATAGGATAAAACTAGGTTTTGTGTAGCCTTTGCTCTACAGTAGTTCAGAGGTCAAAGGGCAGACGTGTTACCTACAGATAATGAATTCATCCAGAAGCCTCATTACCTCCTACGCAGCTTCCATGTTTTAGCAAGTTCATACCCCTATGGACACCTGTCTGTTTGGAAATGATAGAAGATAGAGCAGCCCGTAATGCTGCTGATTGGGAAGGAGTTTACTGTTTTTCATGGTCTCCCCGGGAGGGAGATGCTGAAGATAGGAGAGTAGCACAGCTTTGGGGATATGTGGCCTTGGACAACTCACTTAACCTCTCTGAGCTCCTTTGCATAAAAGGGGAATGATAACATTTGCTCCATGCGCTGTCTTGAGAATTAAATGAGATGGTTCACGCAGACTCCCCCTGAACAGAGAGAAGGAAATGTGCTGTCAACCTTGAAAAACATGCTCCTTCCTCCCGTCAGCCTCACGGCTGCTCCTCTTGCCTGGACACACTGTAGGCACTATTCCATGTTCAATCTGCAGCCATTTGTGACTACAAAACAGATGTGTCAACTTTCCTCAGTGTGCTGTTTTCTCTAATCTCTCTTAGGAGGTGCTTGAACTTGCTTTCTCGATCTTGTATGACTCAAACTGCCAGCTGAACTTCATAGCTCCTGACAAGCATGAGGTAAGGGTCTCAGTGGGGTTAATTTATGAGAGAATGTCATATTTTCTCCAGAAAAACAAGCAGATAAAAAATATTGGGAAGAAAGGAATTTCATTTTTTTAAAATGTCTACCTGAGAAAAATCACGAGCAAAGGTACATCTTGTTGACTTGGAATAGAACAGGAACCTCTCGAAAAACTGCAAGTTGTAACAGATTCAACTTCTTCTTAGCTTGATCAAGAGTTTATGGTAAGGACTTCCCTGGCAGTCCAGTGGTGAAGACTCCGCGCTTCCACTGCAGTGGGCATGGGTTCGATCCCTGGTTGGGGAACTAAGATCCCACATGCCACATGGCGTGGCCAAAAAATAAATAAATAAACGAAAACTTAAAAACTAAAAATAAAGAGGTTATGGTAAAGAAGAAGAATGTACACATGCTTCATACTCAGTAAGGGCATAATTGTTAACCCAGAGGAAGTATCAGCCCTGGCTTATAGCTTTGGTTTTCCTTGAATATTTAGCTTTGGGCCAGAATTTTCCCATGATAAACTTATTTCTATTCTTTAAAACATTTGATGGAGTAGGTTTTTTACCATGTTTCTGTAAGTTATTTTAAGAGGTTTAGGGCTGTCTCTGCTGTTGGAATTTTATTTTTGAGATGCTTTTATTCCTTTTGACATCTTGTTATATGTATAATTTGTTTCTCTTCTTGAATCATGCTGTCAGCTATATTTAAAATATTTAGCATAAATCCAGGAAAATGCATTTGTAAGATGAAGTAGCAGCTCTGGTTGATTTAACTTTTTCTCTTGTAAACTAGAACCCAACATCATGCTTGAAACTCTTATTTTTAGATGATACCATTCAAATTTTTGTTGTGCATGTGGTTACATAAAAAGCTTTTAGAAAGGAAGGAACATTTTAATAGAATTTGAATTTTGTTCCCCATTTCCCCTGGGAGACTTAGCTCATTTAGAAGTTATTCTGTATTTGGTTTTCACTGGTTTGAAGCTTTTGAATAAAATTGTACATCCCAAAGAGAGAAGAAAGATTATATGCAAATCCTGCATTTAGAGCGGCACTTAAATATAATTCTGTGTTACTTGACATTTCGTTCACAGAAGGGGATGACTTTGTCTTCATCTTCCTGAAAATACACACTGTGTCCTACCATTTCTCTTTTTAAATAAAATTGTGGTTGTACACAGGCCACCGTATTCAAGATATATACGGATGTATAGGAAACTACTTCAAATGGTAGAACTGTGGATGCTATTTAAATCTATACAACGCTGTTTTCCCCAGTATACATTAATTCCAGATAAGGATAAATGTTCTGGGACTGCCAAATTTTTATTCATATCTTCCATTTTTTACCGATGTAGTGAGGAGAAAAATGCCATACACTTGTGTAAATTAAAAGTATTCTTCAGACCACTTCCGTATCTACTACCTCATTTTATTTGCATAATTGCTCCATAAAATGGAAAGTTCTGTCACAGATATCCTTGTTTATCAAAGGGGGAGAGAGAGGCCTCCCAAAATTGAATAACTCGACAATAGTACTGATAATAGTAATTATAACCGGAATACTCTGCACCAGGGACCATTCAATGCTTTATGTGCTTCACCTCTCTTAATCCTCATTCTGTAACTCTTAAGGAACAAACTAACATTATTCCCATTTTATAAAAAAGGGAAATGAGGCACAGAGAGGCTAAGAAACTTGTCCAAGACGAAACAAGCAGTAAGTGATAGAGCTTGGATTTAAACCATGGGGGTCTTGTTCCAGAAACACTTTCTCTTTGACCCTTGCACTGTGTAGCTTGGAAGGAGGAAAGCAGGACCTGGACCCATGACTTCCTGCCAGTGCCCATCCCCAGCTTCAGCAATTATCAGCTCATGGCCAATTAGGTTTCACCTATACCCTCACTCACACCCAGCTGCCACAACACCCCAGATTATTTTCAAAGCTCATCCAGATATCATATCGTTTTATTTGTAAATATTCCCATGTGCATCTCTAAATAATAAAGAGTCCACTTGGAAACATAACTATCAATCCATGATGACACCCAATTTTATAACGTTTTAATACCACGATTTGCAGTCAGGTTTCAGATTTCTCCAACTGTCTCATTTCTGGTTTTCTTTTTTTCTTTTATACTTTGTTCAGATCAGAATCCAAACAAGATCCATACATAACAATTGGTTCACGTGTTTCTTCAGTTTCCTTGAATCTATAGGTTCCTCTCTCCTTCTCTCATGAACATGTGCATGTGTTTTATTTCCTTGCAATTTATTCATTGAAAAAACCAGCTCATCTGTTTGGTAGCATAGTCAATAATCTAGATTTTGCTGATTTTAATTCTGTGTATTAGTTTCCTTGGCTACCACAAATTTAGTGGCTTAAAGCAACATAAATGTATTATCTTACAATTCTGGAGATCAGAAGTCGGATGCAGGTCTTTCTGGGCTAAATTCAAGGTATCGACAGAGCTGCACTCCTTTCTGGACTAGGGGATAATCCATTTCCTCACTCCTTCCTCACCTCCATCCGTCTCAGTAACGGCGGGTTGAGTCCTCACACCGCATTATTCTGACCGCCTCTTCCATACTCAAATCTCCCTCTCTCTCACTCCTGCTCTGTTTCCCTCTTCCACTTGTAAGGACCTTTGTGATTACATTGGGCCCACCTAGATAGTCCCAGATAAAAATCCCTGTTTTAAGATCAGATGGTTAGCAGTCTTAATTCCCTTCACCATGTAACCTAACATACTCACGGGTTCCAGGGATTAGGACATGGTCTTATTTCAAAGGAGGGTACTGTTCTGCCTACCATAACCTGCTCTATCATTTCACGTGTTTATCTGCATCCTGTATGTCCTATTAAGCGATAGTTAGGCGATTCAGGCTCTGCTTTAAGCAGCAGTAGTGTTGTATTCTTCCGTGATGTCTGGTTGTCTCTCTTTTGGAAATGTTTGCAACCATTGATGATTATCGCCCAGATCCTTGGATCTATTAGACTTTGGAAAAGGTTGATATTCCAATTCTATTGTAGTTACATAAAGAGAAACTGGCCTCATCAACTCTTTGGTTACCCTGAGGTTAAACAGTGTACATATGATAGGCAGGATAATGCTTGATTCTCTTGACCAGTTTTCAGAATCATGAGCATCTTCAAAGGAGGCCAGTGAAGGATGTTTGGTGTTTGGGTATCATTATGAAGTTATGGATTTAACGTATTTGTATATCAATAGGTTGCAGTTATTGTCATTATCAGTGTCCAAATTATCTAGAGAAAGAAGGAACACCTTCTGGTTAGCTTCTGAGTTCTATTGACAGATGCCTTTGGCAGCTTTCAGGCATTCTGGCATGACAAGATATTCCAGGTTCATCTTGTACATTTCCTACCTTTTCTCTGTGGAGCTTTGGCTCCTTTTGGTATTTAGCGACCAGAATCTGGACATTAGGTGTGCCTGTCACTACTGCGTTGGTCATTATTTTCAGGTTTTTTGTAGACAGAGCTTGGAGTTATGTTTTTTTAAAGATAAAATACACTGTAAGTTCGTATTGATACTTCCAACTCAGATTCAGTACTACAGAGTTCTTATTTATTGGTTGATGTATTTTTTAATAAAATTTTCTGTACTTGCTGCTTCTGAAAAGAAAAGCACCACAGAAGTGTTCCCGTGGGTTAAATTAATCTGTACTAGGAAGCTAGCCAGGACTGGGAAAGCTGTGCACAAAAAGCAGTAATCCCCAGCACGTAGGGATTTATAGTGAAACAGTGTCAGAGCTGAAAGGGGCCTTAAAGAGCATGGGGTTCAGTGGTGCCCATATCTGGAGGGACATCAGAATTAGCTAGAAGCTTTTCCAAATAAAATTTCCTGACCCAAGATCCATAAGATCAGGATCTGCAGGGTAGGACCTGGGTATCTATTTTTATTAAAGTTATTTATGAGGAAACGAATGTTTCGATGTGTTCGGAATCTATCTAAGGTGTTCATGAGGACACTAATACTTCCAGAAATCCTTTAGCACTCAACTGATGTTTAGAGAGGTTAAAGGCTTTGGCTGAGATCCCACAGCCAAGGCAGAACCAAAGCTCTACAGTTCAGGGCCGTGCTACTCAGACACGGGCCTCGTGATACACCCATGGTACACCTCCCTGGCTTAAAAAGTGGTGCCACCAGTGTGCGTCGTGGTAGATGTCTGTCACCTCACTGTGACTTGAGATCTGTGTAGTGCTTGCCATCTTGTAGCACTTTTATGTTGAGATCTGCTATCGTATTTTGGAACATAGCCCAGGTAACCACAGTGCAAAGGACAAGCTAAGTAGGATCTGGAATTGCAGCTTGACCCAGTAAGGGCAAGAGAGGGGGGAATCTAGAGGATGTTCTAGAAGGAAGACCAGTCCCACAGGAAAAGCAGAGAAATTGCTCTCAAAGAGGTCCTATATAGGACTAGGACATCCTAAAAGGTGAGCAAGCAGAGCATCCAGAATGCAGGCATGTTTCTGAGATGCGGGCAGCAGGGGCCAGTTCTTCCACCAGGTATCATGGCTCTAATACCAGGGCAGGGCAGGGTTTCAGCCTCTGGAGGGAAACTGACAAAAGCAAGGCAGGTCCTCAGATAAACGGAGCACAGTTCCTAGTCTACTGGAGAGGCAAAGGACACGATTAATTTTAATGAGAGGGGAAGAACCAAACTCTTGGTTGGGTACTATGGAGTGCTTTCCAAAACAGGGGATGTGCCCAGGGACCAGGCTCCAGAGACCTGGAGGAGAAAATCCTTGGAACCTGGAGACCCAGGCAGAAGGGGTCCCTAGACCGGCAGCCGAGCCACCTTCCGTTAAGATCACCCAGTAATTTTAGCCACTTTGCCCACCAGACATTGGGCAGCACTCAGATATTTCCTAGACCTTTTGCTAAGAAATGCAAAGGTGGGACTACCATTGGGCTGTCATTGTGGGTGCTGGGACTCAGACAGGATAGGCAGAGATGAGCTATTAGCCTGGGAACCGTACTTGGAATGAGGAGAGAAGCAAGCTTTACCTGGTGATGTTGAGTCCAGGAGTGTTGGGATATATTCTACCAATACCTTAAACTCATTGACTCACTGCTGGGATGTTAGAGAGATTATGTTGCACAGGCACGAAAACCCAGACCCTCCTGCTGCGCCACAGGGAGGCATCATGGGCACAGAAGAGTGCAGGCACTGGAAGCAGATTGCGTAAGTTCAAATCCCACCCACTCCACGTACTACCAAATGACTTAATTTCTCACCACCTCAGTTCCCTCATCTGTAAAACAGAGATGCTACCAGACGTGTCAGCTTTATAGACATGCTTTGCATGTTAAATGATGATGTAGGCAAAGCACTTAGCACAGAGCCTAGACCATCCTGAGTGATCAGTAAGTGTTAGCTGTTGTTTCTCCTCTTGTTATTGTCACCAGTAGTTCTCATTGTCACCTCCCTTCCCACCAGTACTGTATCTGGACAGATGGGCTGAATGCGCTGCTGGGGAAAGATATGATGAGTGACCTGACGAGGAATGACTTGGACACGCTGCTCAGCATGGAGATCAAGCTCCGCCTCCTGGACCTGGAAAACATTCAGATCCCCGACGCACCTCCACCCATCCCCAAGGAGCCCAGCAACTATGACTTTGTCTATGACTGTAACTGAAGCGCTCGGGGTCCAGAAGCTCCCCCCTCCAAAACTGGAAGAGCTAGCTAACAGGAGAGAAGAATGAAAACGCTCCCATGCCTTGGAATCCGCTGTGGTAGAGGAAAGCTGTGGTCCACATTTCCTTTGGCCCCAACGCCTCTAGCCCCGGCGTCTTCCTGCCCCTCCCTGGCGTCCTGCTCACCGCCCTGATTCCATTTCTAGACTCCGATGCTTTAGGTCACCTCCCGTTGCTGCAGCCTAAGGTGGGAGAAAAGCAAAACCCACCGCCAGTAAGAGAGCCAGAGGGCCCTTCCATCTTCATCCCAGCAGGCAAGCCCACCCCTCCTGGAGGCTGAAAGCCAGCAGCACCAGACCGCCCCCAAACCTACAGCCAGACCCAGGGGTGTGCCCGAGGCCTGTGTCTGGAAGAAACAGTCTAGCTACTTGAGAGGACCAAACACCTCCTCGTTCCCCTGCTCTCTAGAGTCCGCTCACACCACCAGTTCCATGTGAATTGAAATCTGCTTCCAAACCCCCTCCCTCCCACATCCCGGCCTTTGCCTGCCCTGTTCCTCTCTGGTCCCAAGAGCAACAGCAGAAGCTTCTTCCTAGTTCTTCCCAGGGCTGGGTCTCCACAGTCCGTGGTTCCCATGGCCACTTCACGTCTGCCCTGTGACTGCGACCACCCTTCCTGCCTCCCAGCTAGTCTTGGCTTTCCTCTCCCTGCCCCAGCCCAGACCTGCCCTCTTCATTGCCACACACCCTTCCAGCGCCTTAGCTGAAAGCACAAATGGTGAAACCAGCCCCCTTGCTCCATCTCTAATGTGCTAAATCTAAAAGCCCCGATGAGAGGCAGTTGCTTATCGAAGGGTTTGGTGGTCCTTCTCCTGGTGGTTCTGCTGAGCACAGGTTTCCACAGGATGGTCAAGTATCCAAGTTTACATCGTTGTAATTATTACAGGTATTGACAGTTTGCAAGGGTTCAGGGTTGTTGGTTTGGGGGGGGATGGGTTATGTTTTTTTGGTTATTTTTTTTCTTTGCTTTGTTTTTGTACAAAAGAGTCTAACATTTTTTGCCAAACAGATATATATTTAATGAAAAGAAAAGATACATAAAGGTGTGTACTTTCCAGGGTTTTTTTTTTTTTTTTTAATTATTTGAATCCTAAACCTCTTCCTGAGAATAACATTCCCCTAAACATGCTGTGGAATAAAATTAATTGTGATGAGTTGTGGGGCCGGTGTTTTGATTTGGTCATTTAGGTTCTTGCTGCCCAGGCATGAGCATCATCTGTGAGCTTGTCAGAAATGCAGAATCTTAAACCTCACCCCAGCCCTGCAGGATCAGGTGATGCACGTGCATATTAAAGTTTGAAAAGCACTGGCCTAGGGGACTCCTGACCATTGCTGTGTCACCATAGGCTCTGCATATCAGTAAAGAATGATCCTTCTAAGAAGACCACCTCAAGTCATCTAAAAAAATCAGACCCACTGCGTAATAATACGATCTATTCATTTTACACTGTTGCCTCCTGACGGTGACTTTCTCTTTTATTTTTTCTTCCTTACCATTATATAATTTATGGAACTGAGCAAATGAAACACATCACACTTTGAAGGAGTACAGTGAGCAAAGGAAAAGAATGCAGACCCAGAGACCAGAAATCAGTCAAGCCAGAACTAAATGAATCTAACTATGAATTAATGAAGTATGGGTAAGAGCCCAGCAAAGGATTTTTCTGAGGTTAGTTCCATTGGAGGCATATATGGATCATGAACTCCAAGGGCTGGAAGGGGTATCAGAAAGGTCCCAGTGATGCAGAATTTATAGCACAAGCCACTCTCGACTCTCAATAGAAGTGTTAGATGCCTCCAGGTCACTGCCGTTCTTTTGTTACCCAGATGTGCAATTACAAATTGTCCTGGGTTGAGATGATATTACAGGAAAAAAAGGGAAAAAAAGACCTCCTTTATAACCCACAGTAATTCCCAAGCGATTATGCTTTACATCAGTGCACTCACACCTGAGTGTCAAGTTGATACTTCCTTTACATTAAGCTTTGGTGATATTAACATGTATGTCCTTCATGTCAGGAGCGCTTGTTCATCCACCCATCAAGGACTGGTGAGGTCCTGAGAGTGTGACATCATTCTTTCATTTTGTGGCAAATGGTGCAGGGTTGCCGTCCACATTTGCCCACCTCATCTTCTCAGCCCAGGCTGCCTAATGCAACTTTCCCAGCCAGTGGGCTTCCCACAGCCAGCTCAGCTCCCGTCGCCACAGGTTTCTAAGCTTGGACAAATCAGCCAAAGCCAAGGGAGCACTGGAGGAGGAGCCCAGTTTTGTCGTGAAGCCTAAGCTGCATCCTCCAATTCAGCTTTACCTGAAATAAAACTGATGGCTGAATTTTAATCCACTGATATTTTAATTCCTCTCGTTCTTATTCAGAACCTATAGGGGAAAGGGTAGTTAACTGGCACTCTCAAACACAAGTGACCGAGGGCAGGAAAATCTGATTATTATTGCAGAAGAAAAAGTGCAAGGCTGAATGTTCCTTGAGTCTATTTGCAAATCCCTTCTAAACCACCTTCCAACTAGCAACTCAAGCATTTCCTACCTACCTGCTTTTATAATGAACTGAGCAGTTGCACCATTGGCATACATGCCTTTTATCGATTTTGTCTTAGTTATGAAATCTTTAACTTAAACCTTTAACTTACTGTAAACCTTTAGCTTAAAGGAAATAAAATATTCCTGTGATAATCAAAAACATGCTTAGAGCTAGACACTAGGAATGCAACAAGAATAAAGTTTGTGAAATCGGGAAGGTTCTAATCAAATAATTTAGTCGAATATAAAACCAAATAATTGCAACACAGTGTGGAAATGATACTATATAACTGTGTACAACATAGAGTAGTAGAAAGGAGGTCATGCTCAACACGCTTGAAAGTGGGGTAAGGGAAACCAAGAGAGGAGTAGAAACTTGAATTAGGTCTTGAAAGAGAGAAGCTGTTTGCCACGCAAGAGATAAAACATTCCAAGTAGAGCAAAACATACAAACAGAGCCTGGAGGCAGGAAAACTGGTGACTATTCCAGAATCTGTAAAACATTCAGTGTGGCCAGTATGTAGGATGGATATGAGAGGGGAAGGGAGAGAAGACTGCAGAGGGTGTAAGAGGCACAAATCATGAAAATCCTGAGATGGTTGGCCAGGGATTTTACCTGAGGGCAAAAGAGTGTAGTCAGAGGAGTGATGTTGTCAGATTTGCCATTCAGAAATATCACAAAGACAAAATACCCATGTGGGGGAAAGATCAGTGCGGGAGAAATGGAAAGAAGAGATATTAGCAAGAAGGTCATTGACATAGTCCCAAGCAAGAACCATTTGAGCCAGACTTTGGTATAAACGATGGGAAAGGGGAGGAGAGTAAAGCCATTAAACAGCAGAGTTAGCTGCCTTTTTAGTGAAGGAGAGAGAAGAATGCCAATGACTCCTGAGTTTCTGGAATGGGTGAGTAAGCAGATAACAAGGCTGTCACCTAAAATCAGGAAGAGAGGAGAAATGGGAGATTTTAGAAATAAAAGTGAGGGGAGATCATGAGACAGCTTGTTGGACTTCTCCAATCAAAGAAATGGAAGCCAGACCTCATTCTAAAATGGAAATCTCATGACTTGAGAAACCTGTGGATGAGGGGCCTGGAAATTGTCATCGCTCAGTAAGTAAATCCCCTCCCATCCCTTTGGTCCCCCATCCATGCCCTCTCCTTCCCTCACGTCCTCTCCTTTCCTTGATGGTAACACAGTGGTTGAATGATCTTTAGCATAGTTCAACTATACGGCATGTTTCAACCAATTCAGCCTGTTTTATGAAAAAGGAAAATAATAAGCAAAGGAAAGGAAGAAAGGAGAAAAATTTAAATTTGAACATACTCTTGAAATAAATATTTGAGGTAACTTGCAATAAAACACAATTTAAAATAAACTGGGGGGGGGGGTGGGTGGGTGAAGGATATATGGTATAATTCTATATGAAAATATAGTTATACCCTATATTTTTCTTTTAATGGAATTACATTTTTTTCTGACAGTAAAATGAATGTTAAATGTTTTTAATCAGAACACACCCAAATGAAGGAAGGAAATAATTCTACCAGAAACATGATGTGTAGTTGATATACTTGAACATTAAATCTAAATCTGGGCTTCCCGGAAGCCAATGTAGATAAGGAAGCAAATTGGGGTATGTAGCTCTCATTTTTTAAATTAAATTTCTATCACCTCTGTATATATATAAGCAAATATATATAAGTATATATAAGCAAATATCCTTTCCCAGGCACCAAATCTCAGAGAGGACATGCTATGAAAAGCACATAACACCTTCAATAAACACTTCTTAGTAGGTGCTATTTGTCTGCCACTCTGTTTTGCTAATGAAAAGAGTTACCCCCCCCCCCGAAGCCCCTTGAGGGATGGAAGCAAACAGGTACCAGAGAAGGGGCGTTCTGAATGCTAGAGTCAGTTTAGGGACAGAGTATAGAAGAATCAGAAGAGGAGTCTGGAAGTCGAGCAACCAAGGAAAGCTTGGCCAGAGAAAGAGGTTCAGGAATGCACCGGGTGGGTCCAGGGCTAGGAGAGGTGCTGGGTACAGACAAGCAGGATACAGGAACTGAATCCCCTTGCACTTTCATCAGGCACTCACTATGCACCGTGCACAGGGCACAGGGATACAAAAGTAAACAAGTGACTCGGCCTTCTAGAGTCTCATAGCCTAGGACAGGAAAGACAGACAAATAAACGCAATCCAGAGCTAAAAGGATCTTAGTGTAGAGAACACTGAGCTAGCACACGGAGCAGGAAGTGACTTCTGCCTGGAGGGAAGTGAGGCCTGAGAGAGGGTTGGAAGGATGAGTAGGAAGCCACCAGGTGACAAGGGAAAGAAGGCCAGGCTCACTCTCTACTCATCCTTCAGGTCCCAGTATCATCATTGTTTTCCCTGGACATCAAAGTCAAGGTTGGCTCCGGCTCTGTGTCCCCAGAGCCACTTTTACTTACGGTCATTGAGCTTTCACTGTCTTCCTCACTTGCTGGGCACCCTATGACAGAGGGCATCTGGCTAGCTGTCCTCACCACTTTCATGCCCTACCCTGAGCCCAGTGCCAGGCACCTAACTGCACTGCATCAACTCTTTCTAAGAGAATTGATCAAGGGCTTTTCTGGAAGGGGTAACAGCATGAGGCAATAGAAAGAGGAAATGGGGTATGGCTGGAACAGACATGAGTGTGGGAGAGAGAAAAGTAGGAGATAATCTTGGAAAAGAGAGTGAATGGCAGACCAAGAAGTTGGAACTATATTTTCTACGTGGCCGGGGCCACTGCCATAGATACTTAGGTGAAGGGAGTAACCTGATTTGCATTTTAAGATCACCACTTTCATACTGACAGCAGCACAAAAGGCAAGTTGAGGAAGAGTGCGTCCAGGGGCAGGGAGACCAGGCTAAACATGTTTCCAAGGTGCCTCACTCTTTTTTTTTTAATTTCTTTTCTTCTATTTATGTAAGTGCAATATCACTATTCGGCAAATGCAGCAGTTAACAACTTACTGGAAGAAGTGACTTGGCCAAAACAGAAGTGGTCAAACTAGGATTTGAATCCAGGTTCTCTGGTTCCAGCTTCTCCTTCTTAATTCCTTTTGCAAGCCATTTTATTTATTTATTTGTTTGTTTATTATTGAATTGCCATTGGCATACAATATTATATGTTTTCGGTGTACACCATAGTGATTTGATATTTTTTCTACATTAAGAAATGATCACAATAAGTCTAGTTGCCATCTGTCACAGAGTTATTACTATATATATATATATATTTGTGTGTGTGTGTGTGTGGTACGCGGGCCTCTCACTGCTGTGGCCTCTCCCGTCGCGGAGCACAGGCTCCGGACGCGCAGGCTCAGCGGCCATGGCTCACGGGCCCAGCCGCCCCGCGGCATGTGGGATCTTCCCAGACGGGGGCACGAACCTGTGTCCCCTGCATTGGCAGGCGGACTCTCAACCACTGCGCCACCAGGGAAGCCCTACAATATTATTGACTCTGTTCCCTATGCTGTATATTACATCCTGTGACTTATTTATTTTACAGCTGCAAGTAAAGGTGCCTCACTTTTAAGAAGGCTGAGCTTATCAATCAATCAATCAGTCAATCAAATTACTAGGATCAAACTGA